GAGCGCCACCTGGTACTCCTTCCACGACTCCCAAGTGTTCTCGGTTATTGTTGCCATGCCATTGAAGACTGTCTCCCACTCGTCCGCCAGGGTGTACGACAGCCCCACAAACGTCGTGTTTTCATTGTCCCCCAGTCCCGCACCCAGCAGAGAAGCGCTCCCGTTCGGAACCTCATCGATCGTCACCGTCGCCACAAGCGTGAATGCGTAATTCACAAAGCTGTGCGCATAGTGATGCTTCCACATGTTCACCGGCCACATGGCGTATGATTCGGACCCCGTGAACTTAAAGCCATTTTCGACCTTCTTTGCATTCGTCACAGTTGCACCCACGCAACGGTACGCGTCGTTCCAAGTCCCATCACCCGATGCATCCGACAAGAATCCAACCAGGCCGGCCGTGGGCACAGACGAGTTCGAGAGGAAGGAGTCCAGTTTTGCCCAAGTCTTCAAGACAGACTTAATCTTCTTCAGCGTACCCGTTAGGGAAGAAAAAGCTAGGCCTGTGATCGTTGTACTGACCCTCTCTTGTAAAAGGTGCAACGCATTGTTAGAGTGCAGCAGGGTGTTGTTAGACGTCCACTTATCTGCAGTGTCCATGGAAATGGGCCCGAGGTGAAACGTGCGATTGTTGTCAGCAACCCAAAGGTAGAGCGCGGTGGCTTGCAATGTGTCCCCAGGGGGAATCCCTTTCTGAGTGTACAGCATGACCTTCTTTCCAGCAATGGTCGCAGTGGTGAGGGACCCCACTCTCTCAGCTGTTCGCGAAGAGTCCGGTAACAACATGGGCTGCACGCGTGTGAGTGTCCTGACAGCCTCCGTCCACGTTGCCCCCATATCCATCGACTCGAACACCTTGGAGTGAAAATCGCAGCTAGCAACCATGACAAGCTGCCCCTGCTCCCACTCGACGATGAGGGGGTCATTGCACCCCGCGGGGAGCATCCCCTGTGGAAGCACCCAATTTTTGCCGTCGTCCTTCGAATAAATGATCGTGGAGACAACGTCTTTTTCCCCTGTCCTCCTCGCCGTCACAGGAAACACAAGCGTACCATCCTCCATCACAACGCCTGAGCCACCAGCACTAACAAATTCTTCCAGGCCTCGCTGTTTAGCAGATGGTTCGATCTGTGGCAAAAGCGAGGTGGGTTCGCCCCATTGGATGACTTTGCCGTGCGTGGCCTCACCCACGAGCAAATCAAGACCCCGTGAGACTTCAATCCACTTCTTCGATGAAGGATCATACTTCTGATAATAGTTTCCCACAAGTAGAAAGACCTTCTTGCCCTTCGCAATTGTTGTGGGTCGGCGCGCGTATCTCACACGGTCGTTATACTCCTCTTGAACGGCCGTGTGAAAAATTTTGTACGTATTCCATTTGTTTACTCGGACCTCATCGACAAAAGACGACCAGCTCTCCGCAGGGTTTATGTACCCCGCCAGAACATCAACATAAATGGGCCAAGTTTCATCGTTATCAAGGCGTAGAGGCCCGGTGTAGCTCTTGGCAAAAGCAACCAACACTCCACCAGCACTGGCAAGAGAAGGGAAGACAAAATAATTCCTTGTATAATTTTCACCTTGTGTTTCCACGATCGTTCGATGCGGCACAAAAAGATCGACAGTCCTTGCCGGCTGCACGTCTTTTGGCGTACTTCTCTCCTCGGCGCGCGCAGCCGTACTCCCAAAGCATATCAACAGCACTGAAAGAAGAAGCACTGAAAAATAAAACAGGTGCCGGGACATCTTGAACACGTGCCGCTGCTCACTCATTCTCTTCCTTCCCTCCTTGTGGTGGAACCGCTCAGGCCTCGACGACTGTGTCTATGCGTGTGTGTGTGGGCGCTGACTGCAGAGCCTTTCAATGTGCAGAGCAGCGAGTAGCGTTTGTTCTCTTTCCTTCATGTGTTTGTGGAAGAGAGAAAAGTGAGAAGAAGCCAAACATATATGCATATATAATAATAAAATAAAACGCTGAGCACCGCCCGCGCCAACAGTTGGGCACCCCGCAAAGAAATGCGACAATCCAAAACTGAGGCAGCACCGACAAACGCACGGGCCACACGATCACACACTCGCCGCCGCCCACAAGAAACACCCACACGCACCCGCACGGAGAGTCCGCAGTGTGGGACGCCTCCCACAGAAATTAAACAACAAAACAAATTCATAAGCACCTCGTTTACCGTCTCCCCCGCCCAGCCCCTTCAAACCCCGCCAGCGGCAACACGCAGTGCGCAATGCCGGCGGGACCTCCCATCACGGCCCCCACAAAATCCCCAACGCCGCCACTTCCCTCAGCACACCGCAGCAGGAGTGGGGCGTAGCGTAAAAAAAATAATATTGAAAAAAACAATAAAAACAATACAAAATAAACCAACGCATGCATCACCGTTTCCTGCTGCTTCGTTCGGCCCAAGAGCGAGGGCACGCCAGCGCAGCCGTAGTATCAGACTGTCCGGTCAGTGCGTGCAGCCCGAACAAGACGGAACAGGCGCAT